ACAGCCCAGCACAGAAACACACATGGTCTCCTGTGAAGCAAGAGAGGGTACATGTGAAAGAGTGGTGCAATCATGTGTTCTTGCTCCCTGGGGGCCAAGTGAGCACGGTTCACAGATATTAGATACACAGGTTGCATGGAAAGAAGTGGACACAGGACAACGTCCACCACCCTGCCCAGTTCTCCTATGGGCATTTGCACTGCAGTATTAGCCTTTTTCAGAATAAGGCCATGTGGAACACATCTAGCTACAGTCTCCCAATAAATAGTTCAATAAGCGCATCTTAGTTCAGAAGGCGCAAGTCAGTCTTCTTGCTTGAATCCAGTAACTGAGGTACTTTCTTTCAAGGGTTTGGATCTGTTTACTACAAGGACATACACGATACACTCTTCCAGAAGACTGCCACTCCCTCCCAGCTTTTCATGTGTACAATTGCTTCATACTACCTCCCGATAGCCTTTCCTTGCTTGGATCTCTCTATGTCCAAGAGTCTGAACATTTGGGTGGTTCTCGCAGCTGAGACTGTTCCAAGCTGTGTAATACATTGCAGATGCCAGACATACTTGTAAATGAACAGCTTACCACATCACTCTGAACAGGCCGAAAGTCTCTAAGACTGTGCAGGCTCAGGTAATAATTGAACATATTCCCGTCCATAAGCTGTGATAGTCCCTTAATCATGAGACTGACATACATGGAAAAATGCATTTCTAGTTGCATTATAGCTGCACTACAGCAACATGAGATACATGGAAAAAATGCAGCTTGCTGCCATGATGTGTGGCCTTGCCTAAGCCATTCATACAGGTTCACAAGACCAGTGACCAGGGGTATCTTTTTCTTGAGACCTTTGACTCAAAGGCAGAGCCACATGCCAATGGGATCCACATGCAGAGAGGAAGACTGTTTCAGAGTAGAATCAATTGCAAAAAGTGGCAGCCTGACACACTGCTGCAATGGATTTAACATGGGAATAAGAGATGGAGTTACAACTGTAGTTTAGGATCTCCAGAAACTACGTAATTTGATACAAATAACCCCAACATTGCTTAGACACCTTTAAAGTATTTTCTCAGTGCACCTCAAAATATCAGCTGCAAGACCTGACTTGCTCTCACTTGCAAGATCAAAAACTTAGACATTCTGTATATAGAAATACGACAAACATCTTCACAATGTTACTAAAAGCTTTTAATTATATACAGATATCAATAATGTTCCATGGAGCCTAAGCACTTTCATGCAAGACCTTGAAAGTTCAAACAGCATTTCCACAGTCTACTGCAATATCAGAAAGATACTTGTTTCTTACGTAATGGGGGGAGACCCTTCAAAGCAAACAGCTTTAGCCCTCACGCTTAGCTAGCAGCCAGATCTCCGCACTACATGCTTCTGAGGTGGATCTCATGACAACAATGGGGGGTTTTTTTCTCATGCAAGTGTGGAATTCATACACAGAAATTATTTTCAGACCTTTGTAAATCAAGTCAGCAACTACGCTGCCCTAAACAGTTTCCTGCCTGATTGCTGCTGTCACACAACTTTTACATGCTTTTGCACAGAATCAGCTCTGCCTGTGCAGAACTGATCTATTTTCTACAGCACCAGGTATGTCCTGTCCTGTGGAGATGGATACTGCAACTTGTAGTGTCTTCTGCATTCCATATGCAGAACTGCTGCACAGTTCTAACTCCACTGCACAGAGGGAGTGCAAAATGCTGCTCATTATGAAATAACTGTCTTCTAAAGGACAAGTACCCTACAATCCCAACTTCAAAATCTTAAGAACTTCCTTCAATGGAGTATGATATGGCTGCTCTTTGAATACTGTTCCAGGTTCTTCAGCTGCAAAGCCAGGCAGAGAAATGTCTAAGTTCAAAAAACTGTAATAGGTGATAAAATACACAAAGCTTCCTTTCACACAGATACTTTCCCCTCAACTACTACTACTTTCATGGATTTACACACACCACTCAATGCCACATAGAGAAGAGCTGCTCAGGAAGACTTCAACTCATTCTTTTAGAGCCACAGTTAGCTAAGTGGGTTTTGTCTATTGAGTTGACGTAATGCCAAGTCTCATTTATTCTCACACAAATACAGTAGCTGCCAGGTTGTTCTGGCATATAGCCACTTATTGTCCCAGCTCGCCTACTTTCATCCCTTTGCCACAGGACAACTAAGCAGTTAACATCTCCCAGGCCAACACTAAAGATGGAGGCCAGTAACTTCTTATCTTCCATACTGGAAGAACTGAGCTGCTTCTGCCACGAATTCTAACATAGCCTACTCTCCCTTGTTTGAAGGTCGTGTTTAAAGCCCCAAAACCTGCCTGATTGTACTACCTGAATAAAAAAAATTCATCTCTGCCCAAGGGACAGACATCTGTCAATGGTGACTCTCCCTTGGGTATCCACTGTAGAAGTTAGTCACCTCACTATTAAAGATGCATTGCAATTTGGCTTTATCCGTTTCAGCTTTAGTCAGTACTTCTACCTCTACACATCAAAGCTTTCTGAACCCCAGACACATTACATCTCTGTGGATACTTTTACAACCTGTGCCTGGAATCTTACCAAATACAGTCACGCCTCCCACTGTTTTCAATCTCCATCTCCTTTACTCCCTGAATCAGCTATTCCCTGAATTTTTTTCCTGGGAATTTTGATTAACCAATCTGTCATTACCCATACTTTGTCCTTTGTAAGTAGCACACTGAGCAAGCACCTTCCTGAATCTCCTTCCTATTCCACTAATACACAACTGAGCTCTTCAGCCAACTCTTTACTGACAACCAGTCACAAAGGTTATAAAACTGCTCACTGAATTTGTTGAAAATCATACTTCTCACTTGTCAGTTAACACATAAAGGAAAACAGCGCTCCATCCTTGCATATGAAAAAGAAAAAAACAGAGGTGCTGGAACGGAACACAAGAATTTAGCAAACTCTGTTGGGTCATTAAATACTGACATATTTCTGTGGTGACAGACCAATATGACAACCAGATCTTCACTCTGTTAAGTAAACTCATTTCTTCTCCTCAATGAAAGACAGGTGTAGGAGAGGAGCAGTTCTCTGCCTGAGCAGTACTCACCAGGGTCCACCTGTCAGGCTTTACATTTCAAGGCTGTGAAATATGACAGATTTCATTTCCATTACTGGTAGAAAATAACACAGGTGAACAAAAGGCAAGCTATGTAGCTCCTCACAGCCAAATTCTTCTATGGGTGGGGGGAGGTACACTTACCTTTTGAGGTGTAGATGTTATTTTATTTCTCTGGCATGTGAGATTTCCTGCTTGTCACATACAGTTCTCTCTCTCAAAACCAGAAAGAATGTGACTATGACATGAGTGTTATGTATCTCAAAAAAAAAACCCAAAACCACCAAAAACCAGAAAGGCTGCTCATTCAAAACAAGTTCTAGAATCTGAAACAACGGCCTGGGAGCAGCACACAGATTTATGACCACACAAGGTAGCAGGTTACCTAGCCACAGATGTAGTTTCTGCTTTGAAAATTGCTTCAGTGGGGTCTAAAATGAAAGATAATTAAATTTTAAAAAATCATGCCCTATTAAAAAAAAATAATGGCAGCTGCATTTGAAAGCATTTTGCCCCAAGTAGTTACTTTCTCTGAAGCTGCTGAAAGTATTTGCCTAAGAGCAGATATGTACTATCAACATGGGCAATTGAAAGAACACTGAATATACTGAGACCCTAATAGTGATACTATTACATATAATTCTTCTATATATATAGATCTTATATATCACTATAATAGTCATAGTCTAACTTTAATCAATCACTTCCACAAAAGAAGTTGCTTCCAGTCAGAAACTACACCTAAAATGACAGAGGATGTAATAAATTTTACAGTTTTAATCTTGTATCATCAGCATCACAAGCGGATTTATTTGGAATTCCACCTGGACAGGATATAATTTATCAAGTTGTCATGGAAATGTGTCACTACTCAATGCAATCATGTTACATTTAAACATGTACACACAGACTATTTAAGTTGATAATATTCAGCACATATTTAGAATTCCTGTTGTGTGACTATTAGACTGAACTTGTAAATGCCAATTCACAAAATGGATAAATATTAAATTCCCAATATATGAAAAAATGAAATTACACTCATGGGACCAACAGATGTGGGGGGATATGTGCTGCGCTTACAAAATTGTTAATGCTACTTCCCCCTGCAAAGCTTCCCACCTGCAACCCAAGTCCCTGAGGCCAGCACTTTCGAGCGCTGTATTTGTTAATATTTGTAGACAATGACTGGTAAAAGATAGCAGAACATTTGTGACTGAGTTAATAGCTACAGAGTTTGCTTCAGGTACCTGCCAGTTTGAAACACAGTTATCATATAAGTTGTGATGCTGTTTTAACACAGGACTTTGAACTACTTCACCTTCAACATTGAACTAGCAAACGAAGAAGTTATTACTGAACACATGACAAATTGTCTCCCTAAAAAGAGGCAGTCTGACTTGGGAGGGTAACAATTTTTTTTTTAATTTTTTATATATGAGCCTTCCATACCACAGACAATGGAGGGGAAGCCACAATTTTGAGTCACAAGCATGGGGCTTCTCAAGTGCCTGTAGGGCTCCCCAAGTACTCCCTCAAAGACTCACATCCTGTTCCACAGGAGCATGCCAACCCAAGAGCCTTGGTACCAGTCACCAGGTTGGTAGTACATTGTTCCCCAGAGCAAGGCCTAAGCACACCTGCAAACGTGTCCCATCAGAAGGGAGGCGAGTTTGAAAGCACAGAGGACAGGGCACCCCCACTTCATGTGTCAGCCTTGCACTTGTCCTGCCTACCCTGAGGTATCAGAAGGCCAGGGCACCCAGAGAAGCATGGTGAGCAGTGGCCACTCCATATGCATTCAGACAGGAGCTACTCCCCTCACCAAAATATTCTTCCAAGGGCTGACAGCCCCAGAGCAGTCTGCAGGTGCGAAAACAGAGCACAACACTTACTTTATCTTTCATGGCAGAGGGGACAGAGGTTGCCAGATGCTTGGAGCCCTTGTTGAGCTTCTTGCCTGCGTCATCGCTGCCACCACTGCTCTCGACCTTGATAAGCCGGTGCTTTGGCGAGATGTACTTCACATCGGGTGGTATTGCTGGGCGGCGCTCGCTGTGGCTGCGAAAGAGGTGCGGGGAGCCAGGTGCGCAGGTGGCAGGAGGCGCGGCACAGCACGACGAGGAGGAGAAAGCCTTGGGGGCCCTCTCGGCCAGTTCCTCGGGCGCAGAGTAGTGCGGACGGCACATGGTGCGCAGCTTGAGCAGGGAGGAGCCGGGCCCGCTGTAGGGGTCCTCGAAATCGAGCTCTTTCTGGGCGCGGTAAGCGCGGAGCAGGTCACTGGTGTCGTCGCGCAGGCAGCGTTGCGGAAAGCCAGGCGAGGTGTGGTGGTGAAGGTGGAGGTGCGGC